TAGAAATATTTCAGAAAAATCTGTTTCATAAAATGTTAAAAATAGAGAAAATTGGGCGAGTTTACTTAACTTCTGCGGGCAACGAATTGTAATTTATCCGTGGTTATTAATATCAACAGGCAATATATTGGTACTAATTGTCTATTTTTATTCGAATTTCCCCGGAGCTGGAAGGTGGAGATTTAAAAATACAAAACACAAAGGCATTATTAAGAAAAGTTTAAAAAATCGGATGTTTTACAAGTTGCCAAAAAAGTAAAACATTTACATTTTTCTAAAATTTCGAAGGTTTTTATAATTTTTTTAGCAATCAGAAACTGTTAAAAACGCTATAAAAAGCATTGTATGTCATCAACAGAAAACTATTATTAGGTAATACCCCTCCCCCGTTAACAGGAGAGCACAATACTAGCTATATTAAACTAATGAATTCCGGTCACTTCGCCTAAACCCGTATCGCCGAAACCCATTTCGCCTAAAACCCATATCGCCTAAAACCCATTTCGCCTAAAGTTTTGGCGATTTTCATAGTTAAATTTTCGACAAAAAAGATCGAAAATCGGTCAAAAATACAGCATTGAAAATGGCCAAAAATTTAGGCGAAATGGGTCTTAGGCGAAACGGGTTTTAGGCGAGACGGGTTTTAGGCGATATGGGTTTTAGGCGATATGGGTTTAGACGAAACGGGTTTAGGCGAAGTGGTTTTAGGCGAACCGGCCGTCACCCTAAACTAATGCATGCAGAAACCAGGCGATTTTTGGTTTCTTGGTTTTTTTTCAAGAAAATGTTTCATAACTTTTTAAAAAGAGTGCGCAAATTTCGAGTTTATTCGGTTTGCGGAAGTTTGAAATTTTACCTATGTATCTCTCTGCCTGTCCACAAAGAGATATTATTGAGTGGACAATCCCCCCTCCTCTGCCTGGTTCTTGGCACTCGAAAGGGATGGAGAATGACCTTGGAATGGACGGGAGGAGGAGCAGGAGGAGCCAGGAGGAGGAGGAGGAGCAACAGGGAAGGATGAGCAAGAAAAAGACATTGAAAAAATGCCATTCCAGGATTTTCACGGATAGATCGACATTAGAGAGGCGTGCAAAAAATGAAAGAAAAAGTTCATAAGAAGCAAAAAATAGTAAAAAATGGTTTTGCTTTTTTGATGAATTCTACAGAATTCCAAAATTTCATAATTAACTTTCCTCAGCGTTTTTGGCATTTTCATATTTTTTTTTGGATGCGACAGGCTCTGCGGAATAGCTGCCAAATCTAGCCTTTAAATCATTATAAAATCAAAACATTTATTTTCAAAAACTGGAAAATAGTTATTTTCGAAGTGCTTGCTAAAAAATTCAGAAAAACTTTACAAAATGTTTATATATATTTTGGATATTTAGGAGTTTTAAGCCAAAACGACGGTTCTTTTGCATTATCGGGGGGAGGGACCGAATTTTTCATCTAGGTCTAAATGCCTAGTATCTTAATACGAAGTCTTTTATTAGTGAGATTCAATATAAAAATAACATAACTACATTTATCCTAGAAAACTACCTAAAAAATTATATTTTTAGCCCGTGAAAAAACGGTCTTTTTGGTATTTTTTATGAAATTTGTAAAGTTGTAATTGCGAATTGCGAGCTGAATTTGTAAATGAGGAGGAGCCCATCGATACCTGATTAGGCAATTTCTGACCGTGCCCATCACATTTTAAACGGAAACATTGTTCTGGAAATGAAACTTGACGATTAACAAAAAATCCAGATAATTTGTTATTTACTAAAAGAAGAAACATATACATATTTATTCTAGTGGCTACATATTCTAGGTAAGCAAGTAAAGTCTTGAAATAAAGGAAAAAATGCGACAGAATTTCTGCCAGTTTGTCTGTCTGTCAGTCTACTTCGTAGACTACAAAAGCGGCTTACAGGGTAGTGTATAAGCCGAAACATGCCCTCCGGGGCGCACAATCGACCCCCAAAAAAGCAATTGTCCTTTCGAAATCGACCCCGCAACAAAGAATAGAAATACAAGGCAGGCGAGAAAAGATATTAAATCATCCAAAAAACCCTGAAATACCTTAAAAACAGAAACATATTTTCTTTCTAGTTTTCAGTGCTATAAAAAACGTTCTAAATAATAAAAATAGCATCGTGGAACTTTCATCGACGTAATTTCTACAGAATTTTTATCGCAATTTTTCTTAGGTTGTTTCGCATTATCGGGGGGGGGGGACCAAGTTTTTCTTAGGATCCAAATTTCAAAAACCTAAATATAAATTGTTTTTAAGATTCTAAACCCAAAAACTTTACAAGTTTTGATGTAAAAAATACAACCAAAAACCGGTTTTTCCACCAAAATCGCCGCCTCTGACCAAATTTTCGACTCTTGTTAAGTTTTTAGATCGTTTTTCTGGTCGAAATACAGCTTTTTTTTTTATTAAAAACAGTATTAAAATAGATCCTTTTAAGTTACTAAGAATTTCTAGATTTCTACAAAAAAAAGTTAGGTTCTGGTGTTTTTAAAGTTTGTTTAAAAAAAACGAAAACCCTTTAACAAAAAACGCTAAATTTTTTCTTTAGCGTTTCTGAAAATCCGAAAAAATTGAATAAAACACTTTCCGTCCAGAGCACCACTTTAGCTTTCAAAAAATGGGGGAGAAGGTGAAACGCCGCGGTCTCGCAAAAAATAGGAAGGGCGCAGCGAAATCAAAAAGCGCCCGAGAAAACATGTGGAACAAGTGGCTCTCGCCCCACAAATATCAAAAAGAATGAATTTCCCGGCTCCCGAAAAAGCATTGCCACTTGATGTTGGAGCACCACGCGTCGCGCCCAACGTTCCACCGGAATAAAAGTCCCCAAATCGTTGCGGTTCGTTGCGAATTTTCGGTCAGTGCCAAAGAACAAAACACTGAATACTACAGTACACTTGGTACTTGACTTTTAAAGCGCACGTTCAGGGAGGGGCCGTGTACTCGTCCCAACGCGGACACCGGTACTAGTATACTTTGGGGGGGCCAAAAAAATTTTTCGACCAAAATTTCTCATTTTCGATTATTTTGTTCAGTTTTTCGTGCTGAATCCAATGAAAGGGTTCCCAGATTTTTTTATATCATGTTTTCTAGTAATAATTAACTATTTATATTACAAGTAAAATAGTAGTCAGGCGCAGGAGCCTAAGCCTGAGCCTGAGCCTAGGTCAAAGCTTAAGCCTAAGCCTAAGCCTCAGCCTAAGCATGCGATCCATTCGCAACTTTTGGTCGCATGTAAAGGAGATCCACCCCTACTAGTAATTGTTATTGTTGCCTAATTGTTATGTCCTAGCAAAAATAAAAAATCTGGAAACACTTGCATTCGATTCAGCATGAAAAACTGAACAAAATAGTGCAAAATGAGAAATTTTGGCCGAAAAAATTTTTTGGCCCCCCCAAAGTATACTAGTGCCCGGACACCCTATGCTGGACACCGCCGCGCTGCCTGCCACAACACTCCCTACTGAAGCATTCCCCTCTTTCCAAACGCAGGGTATGTCAGGAGAAATTTAGGATTAATATGACCGGAAATCCGTGGGGAAACCCCTCGCGAGGTTGCACCTGTGGCTGACTGGCATGCGACCGCGTCTCCCGATCGGGAGGCCCGGGTTCGACCCGCGGCCGCGGCAAAAATCTTTGCTTTCTTGCCCAAAAACGTCCCTTAAGCTTCAAAGTTGGAGCTTCAAAGTTGGCCAAATCGCCAACAACGGTACCTTTACGGGCCCGTAAAAACCGGGGGAACGGAATTGAGCCAAAGGGTTAGTGCATCTTGGTCAGCAGGAAAGCGCTTTGAATGAGCTATCTTACTTCAAGTTTAGGATGATTTCGCGTAAATCTCTTCTATGAACTTGGCGGGCCAAACCCTTGCCCGTGAATCCAAAAAACCTTTGTTGGTGAATTGCTTGCAAATGGTACGTATTACAGCTCATTCGAAAGCGCTTTTTTTGCTGAACAAGATGCACTAACTCTTTTCTCCTCGGTCTCCGTTCCCTTTACGTGGGCCCTTAAAGCTACCGTTTTTGGCGATGGGCCAACTGAAGCTTCATAATTTTTTTCTCCGTTTTAGTAGCAGATTCTGATTACAGATTCGGAATCCCCGTGTCCGATTCTATCAGATCCACTATGTCGCGTGTCGATTTCTCGTGGGCCGGTCGTTCACTTCCCTTGTTAGCTGGAGCGATGGTGGAACGCATCGGGGGTTCTTTCGCAGGATCTTGGGTAGGGGGAGGTTTCAATTTTTTTTAGAATGGAAGCGTGTTTTTGTCCAGGAAATGCGTAAAATTAGGCTACGTCTTTGTATCAATTTTGAAGCTTGCCCGGCCTAAGTGCAGTTTACCCCCAGCCCAGCTTCTCAGCCATACGTCCTATTAATGCGCCGAGTATCTCAAAATGTTCGCCGTGGCCGAAAACCTCTAAAAAAGTAGGTTTCCACGGCAAAATTATTTAGAAAATTTTTTACAAGATTTTGAAAGTTCAAAAGATTAAGCCGCTATGCTTCAATGTACCAGGAGTTTAAAACTCGAATATTTATATTTTCCGCCATTTTTTTGACTCATACGTACTGTAGGCTTATTCTCCAGAGCAATAGCTACATTTTGATACTATTGACAGCTCTGTACGACTAAAGATAGCCGAGATAAAAACTCCTTTGGAGCAGCAAAATTAACTAAAGAAAACCCAGACTTACAATTGTTATAGAAATTTTTTACCATTTTTTGGCGCAATAAACAACTTTTTTTAGAGGTTTTCGACCACGGCGAACATTGTGAGATACTCGGCGCATTAATAGGACGTATGGCTGAAAAGTTACGGCTGGCGGGCGGGGTAAACTATGTAGAGTCTAGCCGAAATAGCTTTTGGTTAATCGATTTACATTCATCTCGCGGCATTAAAACCGGAAGTAATGATGCGCAAAGCTGGAACTGGAAAATCGGGTCATTTTCCACGCCGTCGTTTCTATACCTACGGATATTTTCTTGAAATGGACATCTACACGGGCAACGACAAGGACTCGATTGTGGAAAGCGAGGTTCGGTAGTTTGGATCAAGCATCAAATCCATGGTTTTTGCAGTGGTTCCGGGCTTCGGACGCGTGGAAGCGTATCGACACGTTCGACCTGGCGTCGGTGCTGTATCTGTGCCTCTACACGATTCTCCTCGTCGTCACCACGTGGAACCATCGCAACGCGTGCGTAATGAAGCGCCGTATCTAGATCGTAAAAGGGCTCAAGTCTAGGAAACCCCCCCCCCCAGCCACAACTTTTCAGCCATGCGTTCTATTAATGCGCCGAGTATCTCAAAATGTACGCCGTGGTCGAATTACTCTAGAAAAGTTGTTTCCATACACCAAAAATTGTTAGAAAATTTTTTATAACGATTATAAGTCTGGGTTTTCTTTAGTTAATTTTTGCTGTTCCAAAGTGAGTTTTCGTATCTCGGCTATCTTTTGTCGTACAAAGCTGTCAATAGTACCAAAATGTAGCTCTTGCTCTGTAGAATAAGCCTACAGTACGCTTGAGTCGAAATAAATAGCGGAAAACAAAAATGTTTGGTTTTTGACTTCTGGTACATCGAAGCACAGCGGCTTAATCTTTTCAACTTTCAAAACCTTGTAAAAAATTTCTAGCAATTTTGGACGTAAGAAAAGGAAAGGGCTACGGTTTACTTTACCCCCCCAGCCGAAAGGTTGTGGCTATAACTTTTTTAATTTACATTATTGTAGGCTCAAATTAAAACTCTTAGTATATTTTTCGACGCTCTATCGAATGGCGTTGCGAAAATCCCGACAAAATAAGCGAAAATACCGACAACTTTGAGACCCTTCGGCTGTGGGGGGGGGGGGGTAAAGTAAACTCTTACCAAGGAAAGAAAGAAGAGGACTTGTGTCTGAGGGAGCAAACCAGACTCCTGCCGAAATTTTGAATACGTGATTTCCATAAAGCAAATGCGGTTCCGGAAACTCCCATCAAATAACCCCTGTCTCGCTCTCCGGGCCGCTTTAGCCCATTTTAGCGTCCGCCGCCTGCGCTGAAGAAGAAGCCAACTACGATGCAGCAGTGTTGCGAGCTGCGCCGATCAAATCGGGGGTGAATGTCAGCCTAAGCTAGTTTCGGTTTAGCCAGGGCTCAATTATACGCATGCTTTGCTTGGCTTCTGCCCGGCTGTGGCGGTATAGCTTATCCCGGCGCTGGGCTTAGCTTAGGCTTGTTCGGCTTCACCTGGTGCTTGGTCCGACGTGCCATGCTTTGGTCAGTCAGCCCCCGCCCGCAGCATTGGCCGCACCCCGGACCCTCAAAGCCCTTCCCCACCCTCCCCATCTCATCGCCGCCATATGCTCAGTTGGTTAGAGGCGTTGGGTCTAATATGCCCAGGTCGCAGGTTCGACTTCCTGCTGGCGGCAAATGTTTTGCTTTTTGCCCAAACAGCCCGAAAGTCCGGTTTTCAGCTTTTTTCATGCGTTTTTTGCAAGTTCTGGGAAGAAGTCATCCGTTAGTTTAGTCAATTCATCCGGCAAAGCTTTTGCTTTTTCCGAAAACACCGATACCTCCCGTTTCAGGAAAAAGAGGCCGTGTTCGACCCGCGACAGCAGGCCCCCGAGAGCGAGCCCGACTCACAGAACAAGCACCAGGGCCGCCGGAATGTCGAGAGCCGACTGATCGAGGTGAGCGCCAGTTTTTTTTTGGGGTTTTAAGGACCCTTTAAGAAATGTTGGCTAAACTCCAGATAACCCCCCCCAGCCGACCCCCACCTACCGTATCTTGGCTCCCTGTTCATCTACAGGTCTGTAAAGTATACCAAAATACTCGCCAGAGCAAGACGAACATTTTGGTATACTTTACACACTCTAGATGAACAGGGAGCCGAGATACAAAAGTGGGGTGCCGGCGAGGGGATTATCTGGAGTCTTACCGAAAATCTTTTATTAATATTTTTATTCAAATAATTTCAGGCGATCACGAAGGCGAACCAGAAGAAGGACAAGGAAAAGGACACGCAAGCCGGCCCGTCGACGGGCCCATCAAAGAGTACGGGACCATCCGACAAGGACGATGTAGCCAAGCATCAGGTTGCGCCGGAGGGCCAAGCGCGGAATGCGGCACGATGTGCTCGAGGAACAGGTGAGACCACAAACTACGCAAAATCAAGGGTAGGGAAAAGGGGTGCTCGTGTCCAAACTGTACCCTTTTTGAGTAAAAAAGGGTTTTTCGTTAATTTTTTTCATTTTTAGCCAATTTTTAGCTAGCGTGTGCGCCGGTTTGTAATTTTTTAGGCTCTAATTTTTGAAACATAGATATGGCTGAAGTGTTTCTAAACTTTTTGACTATTCCTAAGAGCAAAATGTTACAAATTTTCATTAAAAATTACGATACGCACCGATTTTTCGACGGAAAATGGCCGATGTCGGCCTAAATTCATGACTATCACTTTTTTAATTTTTTTTTGATCGCTTATCCACTTGAAATTTTACTAGAATCATGGCTATCGCATTCTCGGTGGGCGGGAACCCTGAAAAAAACAATTAAAGCAGCTGAAACGACCCATACCAAGCCTGGTTCTGGACTAGTTACTGAGGAAGGAGGTTTGGCAGGGGGCTCCTTTTTCTTGCTTTTACCAACGATTCTACCTGCTGAATATATATAATGTATGTTTATACAGTGTTTTTAGTAGTTTTTGGTCGCTCCAAAGTCGAAAAAATATTTTGAAAATTCGAAAATTTTGACCTTGTTGGTCATTTCTCATAGGTTTTTTACCAAGATCTCAAAATTTTTGCAAAAATTGTTAAAATTTCAATATCGTTTTTATATCGAAAACTATGCAAAATGCTATAAAATCGTTGCGTTTTTATAGGTCGGGCCCCCACTCGCTAAAAGTCCAGAACCAAAAAAATTCGTCCAATGACGCGATGAAACGATTTTCAGGAGCGCATCCTGGAGGAGTACATCGAGACGGAACAGGCTGAGGGCGATCCCGAGTACGATGCGGTGGATGGGGACTGAGAAGAGGAGGAGCACGAGGAGGAGGGACACTCAGAAAAAGAGGAGAGACACGAGGGATGAGGAGAAGAAGGGAGAGAGAGCGGAGAAAGCCGAGAGAGCCGAAGAGAAGCACACGGACCGGCAGAAGAAGACGCGCAAGAGGGAGACGGACAAGGCGGCTGGAGGAGGAGGAGCAGGGAAGACGGCTGTTGCTCAGACACAGGGCGCCGACCGGAGCCTCAAGATGGAGAAGGGCACGCAGGATGAGGGAGGTGCTGGAGCAGGAGGAGCAGGAGGACATCGAGAGAAGGAGAAGGACCAGGAGAAGACGTGCATCGACAATGAGAATGTGCCGACCAGGTGAGGGGGAGAGGGGCGAGCAGAGATTCTTTGAGGAATTGGGGGGGGGGGGCAAGCTAGCAGAAACTTTTGAGGAATTGGCTGAGAGGCAGGCTAGCAGAGATCCTTGAGGATTTTCAGGGCAGTAGGGGCAAGCTAGCAGAGATTTTTTGAGGAATTAGTGGGGGGCAAACTTGCAGAGATTGTTTGAGGAAATAGAGTGAGGGGTAAACTAGCAGGGATTCTTTGCGGAATTGGATGAGAGGCAGACTAGCATGGATTATTTGAGGAATAAGGACTGAGACAGTCTAACAGATATTCCTCAAGGATTGAGGCACTGGAAGGCAAACTAGCTGAGATTCTTGGAGGAATTGGGAGATAGGCAGGCTAGCAGATGCCCTTGTGGATTAGGGTAGAAGAGGGGCAGGCTAGCACTGGTTCTCTGAAGAATCGACGGCGAATTCGGGAAGCTAGCATAGATACTTTGCAGAAATGGAGGGAAGGGGTAGACTAGTAGCTTTGCTGAATTGAGGAGAGCGAGAGAGAGAGAGAGAGAGAGATAGAGAGAGAGAGAGATGCAGGCTAGCAGAGACTCTTTGAGGAATTTGGCAAAAATAAAATTAGCTTCGTTTCTTGGTATCAAAGTACTTTTTTACAGCAAACACCGGCTGCCGATGCTGACGGCCGAGGAGATCCACGAGAAGGACGTGATGGAGGACGTGTGAAAACGACCGGACAGCATGAATCCAGAAAACCTTAATAAAATGCCTACTGTTGGCCGTGGATTTTGTGCCCCGAATAAATATGGATGCGAACAGTCGAATCGAATTGCTTGCCTTGCCTATACCCTTAAAAATGCTTTTAAAATCGCTGGTATAGTCTTTCATTTTCTATACCACCAATTTTTGCCTTGCCAACCCCTTTAAAATCGCTGGTATAGTTTTTCATCGATTTCTCTCATTTTCTATACCACCAATTTTTGCGTTGCCAACCCCTTTAAAATCGCTGGTATAGTTTTTCATCGATTTCTCTCATTTTCTATACCACCAATTTTTGCCTTGCCAACCCCTTTAAAATCGCTGGTATAGTTTTTCATCGATTTCTCTCATTTTCTATACCACCAATTTTTGCCTTGCCAACCCCTTTAAAATCGCTGGTATAGTTTTTCATCGATTTCTCTCATTTTCTAAACCAGTAATTTTTGCCTTGCCAACCCCTTTAAAATCGCTGGTATAGTTTTTCATCGATTTCTCTCATTTTCTAAACCAGTAATTTTTGCCTTGCCAACCCCTTTAAAATCGCTAGTATAGTTTTTCATCGATTTCTCTCATTTTCTAAACCAGTAATTTTGCCTTGCCAACCCCTTTAAAATCGCTGGTATAGTTTTTCATCGATTTCTCTCATTTTCTATACCACCAATTTTTGCCTTGCCAACCCCTTTAAAATCGCTGGTATAGTTTTTCATCGATTTCTCTCATTTTCTAAACCAGTAATTTTTGCCTTGCCAACCCCTTTAAAATCCGCTGGTATAGTTTTTCATCGATTTCTCTCATTTTCTAAACCAGTAATTTTTGCCTTGCCAACCCCTTTAAAATCGCTGGTATAGTTTTTCATCGATTTCTCTCATTTTCTATACCACCAATTTTTGCCTTGCCAAACCCCTTTAAAATCGCTGGTATAGTTTTTCATCGATTTCTTTCATTTTCTAAACCAGTAATTTTTGCCTTGCCAACCCCTTTAAAATCGCTGGTATAGTTTTTCATCGATTTCTCTCATTTTCTATACCAGCAATTTTTGCCTTCTTGATCCCTTTAAAATCGCTGGTATAGCTTTTCATCGATTTCTCTCATTTTCTATACCAACAATTTTTGCCTTGCCAACCCCTTTAAAATCGCTGGTATAGTTTTTCATCGATTTCTCTCATTTTCTAAACCAGTAATTTTTGCCTTGCCAACCCCTTTAAAATCGCTGGTATAGTTTTTCATCGATTTCTCTCATTTTCTAAACCAGTAATTTTTGCCTTGCCAACCCCTTTAAAATAGCTGGTATAGTTTTTCATCGATTTCTCTCATTTTCTAAACCAGTAATTTTTGCCTTGCCAACCCCTTTAAAATCGCTAGTATAGTTTTTCATCGATTTCTCTCATTCTCTATACCACCAATTTTTGCCTTCTTGATCCCTTTAAAATCGCTGGTATAGTTTTTCATCGATTTCTCTCATTTTCTATACCAAGATTTTGTGTCTTCATGGCCCCTTTAAAGTTCGGTGGAAATGGCTGGTATAATAAAGCTGTGCACTCTAACCGATAAAAAAATTTGGCTTTGAATTTGAACTCAAATTAAGAAGATTTGAATACAACCCACGGTAAAGGGGCCATTAAGCCAAAAACACTGTATAGACAGGAAATAAATCGGTTTGAATCGCTTCCCGACCTGATAAGGCGCTCAGCTCAGTTCACTTTGTTTCTTCGTTTGACGGAGTTGAAGCCATCCACTTGGCTCGGCCTATTTCGTTGCTCTATTTTCGGCCGCCCTCTCGCCCTTCATCGCGCCTTCGAGCGGGTCGTCGCAGGCTGTCGTGTTCGTTCTCTTCTTCGTCGTGTCTTTCTCGCTCGTTTCCGTCGTCAGAAGGCTGCGATGAAGATCAGGGTTGTGGCGCCGGCTACTAGTCGCGTGAGCGAAAAGAATGGGTGGGTTTTTCACGTAAACACCCGTTTCTGGCTTGGGTTCCTTTTTTCGGTAAGACTCTAATGACCCACCGCCCCAGTCCACACCTTTTCGGCCACAAGTCCTATTAATGCGGGGAGTAGACCTCCCGAACCCCCTAAACCCCCCTTAACCCCCCTCCCAACCCCCCTCTGCGCTCTCCCCCTTTCCCCACTATCTCGCGCGAGAGAGGCGAAATAGTGGGGAAAGAGGAGAGACGCAGACGGACACAGAGGGGGGTTGGGAGGGGGGTTAAGGGGGGTTTAGGGGGGGGTTCGGGAGGTCTAGCGGGGAGGATCTGAAAATTTTTGCAGTGGTCGAATTACGATATAAAAATTGTTTCCTGTCTTCAAAAATTTTTATTACAATTATAAGTCTGGGTTTTCTTTAGTTAATTTTTGCTGCTCCAAAGTGAGTTTTCGTATCTCGGCTATCTTTTGTCGTACAGAGCTGTCAATAGTATCAAAATGTAGCACTTGCTCTGTAGAATAAGCCTACAGGACGCTTGAGTTGACAAAATAGCAGAAAATAAAAATATTCGGGTTTCAGACTCCTGGTACATTAGCCACTAGCGGCCTAAACTTTCAACTTTCTCCAAAATATTATAAAAATCCCAGCAATTTTTTGCCATCAGAAACCCTATTTTTCAGTGAATTCGACCACGGCAAACATTTTGAGATGCTCGGCGCATTAATAGGACCCGTGGTTGAGGAGCTGGGCTGGGGGGGGGCGGGGGGTAAACCAGAGTCTTACCGATCGCGCGGAAAATTTTGACGTTTTGGTGGTTTTTTCAAACATTTTCGGGCCAAGATCGAAAAATGGTAAGAAGCCATTTTATCCTCCTTCCTCTTCCCCCACAGCCGAAGGGTCTGAAATTTTTCGGTATTTTCGCTTATTTTGTCGGCATTTTTGCAACGCCATTCGATAGAGCGTCGAAAAATATACTAAGAGCTTTAATTTGGGCCTACAATAATGTAAAATAAAAAAGTTATAGCCAAAAACTTCCGGCTAGGGGGGGGGGTAAAGTAAACCGTAGCCAAAAAAATTTCATAGGGTTGTTGATGAGGGGTATTTTTATGGAGGATCTGCAATCTTACCGTAAGCCCTTACGCCAGCTGAACACCGAAAGCTTTAGGAAACGATTTCTCGAGATCTTGGTTACTGTACTGGGGCCGATTCCCAAGCTTGGCCAGATGCTCCTCAGATTGACGTTTGGCGGAATGTTCACATTTCTGAAGATGGGAACCGAATGCGTGGAGGGAGAGGTCAGTCTTTCTAAGGCCTAGGAAACCCTCACCCCCCACCCGAGTATACACCTTTACGTTTACACATACGTCCCATGGTCCTTTAGGATTTCCGGAAATCCTAAAGAATCCGTCCTATTAATGCGCGGAGTATTTCAAAATGCTTCGCCCTGGTCGAATTACGATAAAAAAGTTGTTTCCTTCCATCAAAAATTGCTAAAAAAACCTGTGATACCAATTATAAGTCTCGGTTTCCCTAAATTCATTTTTCCTCGTCCAAAGTGAGTTTTCGTTTCTCGACGATTTTTAGTCCTGCAAAGCTGTCAATGGTATCAAATTGTAGGTCTTGCCTTGTAACTTTTCAATCGAAACAACCAGGGTTGAAATGCCGCTTCGCGATTTCAACCCTGCCCCTGTCTATCCCCATAATATTCTTCTTTCTGCATAATTCTCTCGAATCCCGATGAGAAAAAAGATGAGAAATGACACTCTCTACCGGATTATATAAGCTACCGCCACTTCCGGTGCATGCTAATTTGATCCTAACAAAGCGGGTGGCCGAAATTTTTACAAAACCTGGAATTCGATATTTAGAGCAATTAATTTTCTAAAACCTGATAAGCGGGCAGTCATCCCAAAGCCATTACGCATCTAATGACGTATCATATATACCTGAAAATTGATTCTCTATCGAGATATCCTCCGGATATGGTGACGGAAGTTGCATGCAAAGTATCACACACACACACACACACACAAACACTATTTTTTATATATAGTAGGATAGCGAAAAAAAAAGAAAATATTTAGGTTTGAAACCACTTGCATTGAGGCATGGCGACTTCATCTTTTCACATCTTAAAATCTTTTAAAAAACCAGCGCCCAAAACCCGCTTCGCGGGCCTTGGGCGCTGGAATGCGACCTTTGCATGAGAAATTTTACTTTCCGATAGTTCGCGTCCTTCGGACGCTTCCCCTTCCCCCCGACCACACGCGCGCGTGCAACTCGCAAGAATGAGGAAATTCTATTTTTCACATTATGCAAATTAGCCTTCCCGGGCCCGAAAAAATGAACAAAAACGGCTCTAACTTTCTAAACTTGAAATACAAGTGGAAGATCGGATATCCGACACGCCATCGGAAAGAGGAGGGTCGATTCCCCCGGGTTACGGAGAATTAGGGCAGTTTATGCACGGGAACGGCCTCCAGTCCGTCTTCGAAAGTGGCAGCTGCACACACAGACAAGCAGATAGACACGCCAAAATTATATCTTTTAGAACATTTTCTAGCAATTATTGGCCTCAGGAAACTATTTTTTATCGTCATTCGACCACGACCATCAACTTTTTTTTGTAGGATTTTTTTCGAATGTGAATTGTTGGACGTGTTCCGAGATGGGTTTTGACTATTCCTACCCCGAAAAACAATACAAACGGTCACCTAATGGTGACCCTTTTTGCTGGGAAAAGCCAAAAATTGAGCAAAAATTTTCGAAATTTCTAAAATCGGATTGCTCTGCTGGACTCACCTTTCCGAGAGCTTTCTATCGATACCGAGATCGTAAAAATGGGCTACGGTTGTGGCCGGCTAGTGGGGAAAAGGTTTCCCTCCCGCCCGAAATTGGGAGATTTCTATCCTCTATGTCCCCCCCCCCGCTAAAAGTCCAGAGCTGATAGATGGTTGCGGTAAAAACAGTGCCGGTCTGAGATCTAATCGTTCAGGAAAAGACGGTGAAGATGGAGGCGCCTCTGCTTCCGGGGAATTACCGACTTTACTTGGCGGTAACCAGTTCATACACTCCGTGGATCGATCTGGAAAGTGTCTCGATTACGGTGAGCATTAGTGTTGGACATAGTGTTGGACAGCACCCCGAAAAGAGCACCCCGGCCATGAGAGGGATGCCCTGAAAAGCACTCCAGCCCCCAGTGGAAACTGGAAAAGCACCCCCGGGTGCCTTTTGGGGTGTCGTTCGGGGTGCTGTCTGGGGTGCCTTTTGGCAAGCCCGTCAATACCTGACCTAGACTTGTTTACCACAACAGACGATTAACATCATCTTCGAGCAGTTCGCACAAGAGTCGACTCCAAACCGCTCGCAACGCATTTGGGGGTCGTTTAGTAGCATTTCTTCGAGGTTTTTGAAGGCGGCGAACGATTTCGAGACGTTTTTTCTAACCGCCCTGGCAGCTTAGTCAAGCCTACCAAAATTGCTTCCAGGCGTTGTTTAGATTGTTGCATTTTCACCGCTCTTCCCAACGGCGCTCTTCACAACGACCCAAAACCGTCCGGGGACAGAGTGGGGAGCGCTTTATTGCCGCATGGTGTACCTGACGAAGTTGTCGCGCTGCGCTAAAACCCATGATATCTCGATCTGCACTGCGTATTCTGCATTGCGGATAAGACCATTCGAAAGAGCGCGAAAATTTCTATCCGTGGCACGAGTTTCAGCTTTTGAGCAGCTTTGCCCAGCCTGCTATGGCGGTTAGAAAAAACCGTCTCGAAATCGACCGCCGCCTTCAAAAACCTCGAAGAAATGCTACCAAACGACCCCCAAATGAGTTGCGAGCGGTTTGGAGTCGACTTGTGCGAACGGTTCGAAGATGACGTTCATCTTCTGTTTTGGTAAAAAGCCTAGGGCGAGGGGGAAATTCTTTTCAGCGCACGCCTAAATGTCCGATTTTTACGATTTAGGAGGTATCTATCGAATGCTCTCGATTAGCTGCGAAGATATGTTCTTCCCGTTTTTCGAAATTCCCGATTTTTTAATGACATTATTGGTTCTTGTGTATTCCCGGGTGGGGGGAAGAATTCGCGGGGGGAAGCAACTTTTTTCCGGCCCAAGCCTAGATTTTTTATATTAATAGTGGAAGTGTTTCTAAATTGTTTATAGCTATTTCTAAGCATACAAGCTTTACAAAATTTCATAAAAAAAATTGGTTTTAGGTCGAAAAATCAATTTTTTTGATTATATTTGATTACTATCCCCACAGGAAAAAAGTTGGAAGACACAAGAGCTAGCATTCTTGCAAAATTGGCTGAATTTTAGGCGCCTTTTCCCATGCAAGTGTTTTGAACAAATATCCCCTATTTTTGAAAATTTCCTGGGAGCCCAAGGTCGGCTTGTTGAAGGGAATTTGAGAAAACACAGCTTGTATGGGACTGAAGCCGATTAAATTGAGTTTTTGCACGAAATTGCGCAAATTTAGGCCCAAAAACCATGAAACTCGGGGTAAAATTCGAGAATTTTCGAAATTCGAAAGAACATAGCCCTCAGCTCGTCGGGAGCTTTTAATAGATACCTATCGTAAAAAATCGGACATCACGGCGGACCGATAGAGGGGAAAGTTTTTTCGGACACCCGTGCAAACGTCAAATCAAAAAAAAAATTATGGCAAAAAAAATGCCAAATTTGCCCCGGCGTAGATTTTGGCCCCCTCCCAAATAGAACAGTAGCGCATTTCTGGATCTCTCCGTGTTTTTGGACACCCTGTATGTGTATGATAGGTCAATACTTCAACCGCGAAGAGCGTCATCCGCAACAATGCGCTCTACTTGGTGAAGCTGGGCGACTCCGCGTATCTCAACGTGTCGAAAGGACGGCTGGGCGTCTCTACCTGCTCCGTGCCTTTCTATTTTCAATGCGGTGCGTTGCCTTGGGTTAAATTCTAGGAAATCCCGCCCCCTAGTCCACACCTTTACGTTTCACATACGTCCTATTAAAGGGCTGGAGAAAGATGGGCCGGCGTCCGTCGGGGTGACGGACCGCCGCGGCGCTACCATCGACGCTTTCCCTCGCGTAAGCGCCCCCAAAACCCCTCTCGCGTTTGAAGAAACCAGTTTATTGGCTATAACTTTTTCATTTAGAGATGTTTTCAACTAAAAATTTCTTGAAACCAAGGACTTGGTGATACGCATCGATGGTAAAAATTTGAGCTGGATTGGATAGAAGGCGGCCAAGTTCTGGGCGATTCGGGATTCGGGATTCGAGATTTTGTCATTCGAGATTTTGTAATTCGAGATTTTGTCAAACTACCGCCAAGTTCTGGGCGATTCGGGGTTTTGGGACACTTTTTGGCTGAAAATGAGGCGCATAGACAGCAAAACACCTCTAGAAAGTTGGAAGTACGTTGCTATCCTTTAGCAAGGTTTTCTACAACATTTTTTAGCTATTATCACCATGAAATTGCTTTATTTCTGATGGCAGTCCTTGTACAGATGGCAATGCGCCCTAGGGTATGTGGGGGCCCTCCGCCACCCCTCTCCACTCGACTCTCTGGTGTACTGGCTAGCGCATCGGACTGCGGGGCGGACCATCCCCTGGTTCGACCCCCGTCCGGTGCGACCCTCTTTGCTCTTTCATCGATTCCATCTTTCTCCAGCCCTTTAAAGACCGTCAGAACGATCAAAATTTCGTTAAAAGCAAGAAATTGCGCACCGGGCGGGGGGTCGAACCCGCGATTGTTCGCTCCACAGTCCGACGCGCTAGCCACTATACCACACGGCCGAGACGAGAAGGAAGTCAGAGGCGCCCCAAACCCCAGAGGGCCTTTGCCCAGTACGGGGCGACACTAATGACGCCTCTCCCTGCGGGTTCTTGGGGGCCCCACCCTTGGGGTGACAGTGTGCGTTCCAGAGTTCTAGCAGTCTTTAATGCGCGGAGGATCTGAAAATTTTTGCAGTGGTCGAATTACGACATAAAAATTATTTCCTTTCATCAAAACTTGCTAAAAATTTTGTTATACCAATAGTAAGTCTGGGTTATCTTCAAAATTAATTTTTACTGGTCGAAAGTGAGTTTTCGTATCTCGGCTCTCCTTAGACGTACAGGGCTGTCATTGGTATCAAAATGTAGCTCTTGCCTTGTAGAATAAGGATACAATACTTTTCAATCGAAACAATAGCGAAAAAAGAAAATGTTTAAATTTCTTTTAAATTGCCTTTTAAAATCTTGTAAAAAATTTTCTAACAATTATTGGCTACAGGAAACAACGTCTTTTATAGTAATTCGACCACGGTGAGCATTTTGAGATGCTCCAAGCATTAATAGGACTTTTCGCTGAAAAGGTTGCGGATGGGGGGGAACAATTGTTTTGTTTTTCAAATATAAATGCTGGAAGGGGTTCTATATGGTTTTAGTACTATTCCTGAACGCACAAACTTTCCATTTTTGTATTAAAGGATATTGAAACACCGATTTTTCGACCGAAAATCGCCGACGTTTGACAAATTTTCGGTTTTTAAGTTTGGTTTTTCTGGTTGAAAATTGTTACTATTAAAATGCTTTTTGAGCAGCTACTAGGAATTTCTAGACTCGTACAAAAAATTCGGTCACCCTGTCGCTAACGAACCAGCACCACATCAAGTGTTTATTCATGTTTAGACGGGTCGGCGGCGAAGGTGACTACCCATCAGAGCGTACGGATTCGGGCACGGACGTCAGAGGCTATGGGAGGACTACACTTCTGGCAGCAGGTCAGTTTTCTTCTCCGGCAAATGTTGGTAAACATCCGATAACGGGGGAATCACGGGGGCGCTGATTGTTAGAAAATTTACAATTTCTGTGGGATTTCGCCAGTGCCATGCGAAAGTTTTTACTATTCCTAAACATAAAAACTTTACAAATTTGTGTTTAAACACTACAAAAAATATCGGCTTTTCTACCAAAATGGACGTTTTTACCAAAATTTCGAATTTTTGAGAAAGTCTTCAAAGATCTAAGAACATTTGTATTCTCCTAAAAACATTTTCAAATGTCTTCCTATTAAGTTACTATAAGCATTTACAGAGAAACTAAAAAAATTTGTCGCCCCCGATAACGCGAAAGAACTGAGATTTGCAGAATAGACAAGGCAACCTCTACGCGAACCGGCTCTCCGGCCTTTCCAGGCATAATGAGACGTTGAGCTATGACGGCGAGCGTCGGGTGTTGAGCACTTCTACGGTTTGTTCCTGGATGCTGCCATATTTCCGAATATTTCTAGGAATTGCCACACCATCATCTTGACTTCATCCTGGTTCCGATCGTCGAGGCGGGTCAACGTTTCCGTACTGGACTGTTAGGGGGGAGTTACTGTCACCGGTTTCATAAATACAGGGTGTCCCAAACCCCTCTCCCTCCCGAAACCGCGGGGGGAAACCAACTTTTTTCGGCCCAAGCCTAGCTTTTTTATATAAATAGTGGAAGTGTTTCTAAATTGTTTATAGCGATTCCTTAGCATAAAAACTTTACAAAATTTAATTAAAAAATTTAATTTTAGATCCCAAAAATCAATTTTTTCGACCCAAAAATGACAAAATCTTTGACTTTTTCAAACGTTTTTCTCACGCTTCAAGCGTTTCCCCCCCCCCTCCCTCCCAGGGAATACTCAAGAACCCAAATTTTTCTATCATTTAATAATGTTTTTGCAAACTGGCGGAATTTTCTGATCAAGGGGTTTTTCACAAAACTCACAATTTAAGAATTTTACGCTTTTCCTGGCAGCCCAACGACAACTTTTCGAAAGCCGATTGCGAAAACACAACTTGGATCGGGTTAAATTCACGGTCGAATTGCGTTTTCAACAAAAAAAGCTCGTCCATTTTGCATGAAAAATGACAAAAATCGAGCAAAAAATTCCGACATTTTGAAAATGCGAGACGTGCTGGACTCACCTTTCGAAGAGCTTTCTATAGATACCGAGATCGTAAAAATGGGCTACGGTTGTGGCCGGCTAGAGGGGAAAACGTTTCCCTCCCGCCCGAAATTGGGAGATTTCTATCCTCTATGTCCCCCCCCCCGCTAAAAGCCCAGAACCCAGACGCTCCTGTTTTTCAAAGCTTTGTAAAATGGTGTGTTTAAATAAAAAGTTAGTTTTGAATCGTGTTGCAAACTCGCCAGGTTTTGGGCTGTTAGCGGGGAGGGCGAAATATTTGCGTGCGATTCTCTACGGCCATACAACAAAATCTAAAACCATTGTTATAGCCTTTACATAGTTTTTCGATAGAAAACAATACATAAATAATAAAAAAATGCCGCAATTTTTTGACTCTTGGATCGAAAAAGTATGAAAAATGACCAAAAAAGTCAAACATTTCCGAATTTTCAGTATTTAAAAAATAATTTTTGTAACTTTCTAGCAACCAAAAACTGCCAAAAACACTGTAAAAATTTTTTGTATATGATCAACAGGGTATAAGTGGAAAAACAGCAAGTGGTTTTCCCCCTTGCTAAAAATCATCCCGCCCCCCCGCTAACAGTCCAGAACCTCTTGCCATTGCCAGGACTTTCGAATGGTGTGTGTAACTATCGTTAAGATCCGCTACTTATGCGTTACCCTCAACACTTACCCTTGATCCCTATTTAGGCACTGCACGCCTTCGAGCTGCCCGAACGTGCACCGGCCCGTGGGCCACCGAATCTGAGAGGACTCGGCATCAATAATACCGGGATCTGGTTGGAGGGCGATTACGGAAACGCAAGTATTCGTCTCCATGGCGAGCCTACTGATTTGCCGAAAAGCGCCACGTGAGTATACTGGGTGTCCAGGGTCGGAAACTATCACGATCTCGAAAATCAGAATCTCGAAACTGTATGCATTTACCCAGCAAGAAAAGCTAGGACTAGAACCTTTTTTGCATTTCTTTTCGCTACAAACAAAACCCTTGGTATATTTTTCGATGCACTATCGAATGGCACTAAAGAAGTTTTGAAAGAATATCGAAAATGTCAAAAACCTGCTTCCTTTCTATGTCCTCTTTGGGAACTTTCAACTCCTAGATCTCGCTCGGGAAGTGTTTCCCAATAGTTTTTTTCAACTGATCTTGAACCAGCTCGTCGAGCTGAACATTTCTCTATATAAAACGTTGAACGTGGGGGTTTGGCGAGGTGACCGGATACTTAAATTTTCCCGCGATATCGATTGCTGGTGCACAAATCCCGAAAAAATAACCAAACTATCGAAAAGGCCGGTCTGTTCCGCCCCCCCCCTCCGCGTAAAATCGTCCCACCGCGTAGCCGACATATAATTATATAATTTTGACATATAGCCGAAAAATCGCTGTTTCGCACAAAAGGCGACTTAGTTGAGAAATCGACTTTGTTGCCCCGTTCCTGTTTTAGCCGTTTTAACTGTTTTCGATAGCTGGATTGAGTTTCGTTAAAGCTTGAACCGTTTTGACCTCGTAAGGTAATTTAAAGCGTAAGATGAGCTTAGCTTGGGCTTAAGCTTACACCTAAGCCTGCGCTAACCATAGTTAAAGATAAGTCAAGCCTAAGCTGCAGCTAAAAACCAAGTAGCTTCAGCGCACCGCCTTGTAACCTATGGCTACCAATTTGGGACTGCTCTCCCCATAACTGCAATAGCACCGGAAAAATAATAAGCATTTCGAAGATCTTGGGCCTTTCGGTCAAAGATGGATGAAAAATGATCGAAAAAAGGTCAAAATTTTCGCATTTTCAAAATTTAAAAATAGCAATCAAAACTACTAAAAATAGCACAAACAATACACAGGTAGATTAAGTGAAAAAAAAACCAGAAAGTAGCTCCCCCCGCTAACGGTCCAGAACCCAGATTTTTAGGAAGGTCGACGGGGCCGTCAGGCGCACCGAGTGGGAGGTTCCCAAACCGTGCCCCCTGCAGGAAGACACGCGCGAGGCTTTCCTTTTTGTTGACGGGTTCGGTTTGAGAATTGATGAAAAGCTCGACGTCGTGGTAGCTCAAATATTTCTTTCTCTATCTATGAATAAACATCAGGAGCGCCGTTTTCGTGCCTGGTGGGAGCAGGAGCACTGATGGAGCAGGCCAAGCTGCTCATTTAATTTAAAAATGCATTAAGGAGTAAGTTTGGAGGAAGGATCAGGCAAGCTTCCGGCCAGGGAGAAGAGACTCACTTTTGACCCAAAAACCCTCCAAATTATGTATTTGGCCTCTACGCCCAAGCAATCGCGGTACCAGATCCTGTGCGGCCCTCGAACAAATTATAACCTATTGATGGAATTTTACAGAGTACACATTTTTCGTACACAAAAAGCTCATAAAAACTGGAAATTTCGAAAAATTCCGACTTTTTGTCGCAAATATTTAGAAAAGGGGCACAAGGGCCACAATTTACCAAGTTTCAATTGGCTAAAATATGATTGGCATCCGCCAAGACTGCCAACAAATTATGAAAATACACTTTTTTTTATTATCAGGCGTATCAGCAACAAAAACAACAAAAAATTAGTTTCCCCTGCTAGCAGTCCAGTACCGCGAAAGCTAAGAGATTCCGAAGCCCAAGCTTAGCTTCAATCCATCGAAATCTAACAGAAAGTCTCGAGAGCCGTACCTTCGTTCGGAGCATCGCGTAACTTTACCGCCAAGGCGCTCCCCCCCCCCCGCGCCCCTCAGATACGCATTAGCACCGTTTGTTTCATCTTTTTTTAGGTTGGTATCTTCTGGTTTTTGGCGCCTTTTCGGCGCTTTACGCGGAAATCTGCTTTTTCGCTATATTAAAAGGTGCGTATTTTTCCCCGGACATTGTCGCATATTTTTTGCTTCACAATACCGGGTGTCCCCCAAAAAAGCCCACCTCTTGTTTCCAAAGCGCCAGCAAGAGAATGGCATTCTGCTCCAAGATTTAGACAACATCGGCTCGTAAAAGTGAAAATTACGTATATTTTTGATGCAAATTGGTGGAATCCCGATTTTTTACGTTAAAATTGAAACGTTGCCTTTTAAAACTCTAAACTAGTGGGCCGATCGGGGGTGATCTTGGAGTTTTGCGATCTGACATAGATGATTCGATAGAGGTTAAAGTGCTGAAAAAGTCGCATCTTTCGCTAGAGGTTGAGCGGCCACGGTTTCGAGGGAATGCGCTCTGTAAGGCCGGATTTTGACCATTTATGGCCCCCGCTTAACAAAATGCGAACTTTGAGAAGCTGATTCTCCAAGACCGTTAACGTTCAGTAGTTTTTGAAAGATGGGACTTGTTCAGAATTTCGAGCTTTGTCGAATGAGCTATGTAACATCGCAAAACTCCAAGATCACCTAAAAACCACTCATTGCTTTTTTTGTACGCACCCTCTTCCAGGTTTACATCTATTGACGGGTGGTATGCTTGTTCCGCGACGCTGTTTTGTGACTGTCACCTCACCGATCCATTCCTCTCCACTCCAAGTACCGGTTAGTTGGAACCGTGTCAAAATACAGCACACAAAAAAACATTAGTTTGCCTCCCTTCCCGGCAGTGAGTTCGACCTCCCCTAAATTGTTGAGCTCCTCCTATTATTTCCGACAAAAGTTTGAGTTTTCTTATTATAGACTATGGCGAACGTTTTGTTATACTGGTAAGATGGTGTTTTTAAAACTTTTGACTTTTCATAAACGTACAAACTTTGCAAAGTTTTATTAAAAATAGACAAAATAATGATTTTTCGACCGAGAATCGCCAATTTTCTACCAAAATGTCGGCTAAAAAAATAGGCTTTGAAAAAAGCGATAAATGATTGGCAAAGGTGATACATTTTCGACGCTGCCGACCCTTGAGTTTAATCCATTTTAGCCCGTAGAGAAGCAAGAAAAGGAAACGTTCATCTCCTTGTACCTGAACGATGGTGGCGGCCCGGTGGTGCGCCCAAGGCGGAGCAGAAGTCAGGGGGTGAAAAATCATAATAGGCGACTATAATGACTCGCTTTTCTTCAGGACAGCGGACGAGGGACTACAGCTAAATCGGTGAACATGAGCGGCAAGCGCGGGCTGGCCGAGGAGAAGGCCGACAAACCGAAGGACCCATCAAGCACATGATCGTCCACGGCCACGAACTGAGCAGTGATGTCCATTCCGCTGACTAGAGTAAGGTCGCCGCGTCGCTTCGACTAGCCTCACCAAGCTTTTTAGTGTGCTCGCAACCTCACCGACCTCACCAACTACTACAGCACAAGTGATCCGGCCGCCGGCGGCGAGCCGTCTCGAGGAGCCGATCCCGCCTCAGGATCTGGGAGGTACGAGTACAAGGACGTGAAACTGGAGAAAAAGTTGGGCAAGTGTCTTGAGAATTTGGCGAGGTTGACCTGCTTTTTGGCAAATCCCAACGCCCTAAATCCCAGGCTCGGTAAAAGGCCAGCCAAACCCTGAAGGGCCCGTCCTCAGCCTGGAATGTCCATTCTGAGATACAACAATTACATCATGGTATCCTTCCCATCGATCCTGTCACCACCCGGAATTAGGCGATAGGCTAGTACGGCGGCCTGCCAAGAAGAAGCGCAAGGAGACTCGCGCAGGAAAGCCGTGCAGATGCGGAATCCCATTCATCCGAATGTGGTGGGCTAGACTTTACCTACTTTAGACAGTTTTCGGTTAGGTTCGTGCGTATGGCGTCGCAGTTCTCGAAAATCCGATGTGCCGTCTGCTGGAGCTGATCCAGGGCGGAGATCTGCTCAAATTCCTCAAGTCCGAATCGAAGCCGACGCGCCGTAAGCTCAAGCGCCCCATCCTCCAGGCTTTACAATGCATTTATTCGGTTGTCATTGCTGTTTTCTAGTGTGCGTCCAGCCGCGAGTTTATCCACCAAAAGGAGGTCATCCACCGCGATCTGGCGGCCCGGATCGTCTGTCGTGTCGGTGTATGGAGCAGTGTTCTTGTTGCAGAAAAATGCGAACCAGCGTCTGCCGATTCGCTGGCTCGTCCCGGAAATTTTGACGGTACTATTCGAGTTGTTCTTTTTGAAAACCTTGTTCAGTTCGGCACGTCTCACCGCTACAAGATCGGACCGCCTGAGCGTTTTACAGCTGTCTAGCTGGCCCACGATCGGCACTGAACGGCGAGCACCCGCAATCGCCGAAACGAACGAGGAGGCTTGCAAGCATCGCATTGTTCCGTAACTTTTAATTTTTAGGCGCAACGCCGCGCTGCGCCCAAGACGCCGCCCGGGATCCCGCAGGACATGGCCAACTGTTGCAACGACGATAGATGGGAAGCAGCACGAGAAGTAGCTCACCGACATGCGCAAAGCGGCCAACCTGCTCGGCACCTTCGGCCACTTCCAACGACGCGCCATCGGCGGTGATGATACGTGAGCCGGCCGCTACGACGGAAAGTCAGCCGTTGTGCTGAAAGAAGAAGCTCGGATCCCGGAAGAAGCAGGCAATAAAGGTGGATTTTTGATGTTTAGGCCGGCAACCCGGGATATTAAAAATATCGACTCCCACGTCTTCATAAAGAACACAACTGTTACCAAATTGGAACGGTTACGATTCACAGCAGGAGAAGCGGGGAAAACCATGTTGAGGATGATTGTCTAATAAAGAGTGGTTTTTAGGTGATCTTGGAATTTTCAATATGACATAGCTCATTCGTTAGAGCTCTGAAATTGAACACGTCCCATCTTTGAAAGCTTGCTGAACGATAACGGTCTTCGAGAATCAGCTTCTCAAAATTCGCATTTTGTTAACTTGTGTCGTTCAGCAATTTTTCAAAGATGGGGCTTGTTCAGAATTTTAAGCGCTATCGAATGAGCTTTTTCAGATCGCAAAATTCCAAGATCACCCGAAAACCGCTGCTTATAAGGAATAGACTAGATTGATATGACCTCGCCTCTATTTTTAATTTTGACGAAAATCCAAAAATTTCAGGAGGAATACGATTTTGCGCGTTCACCTCATTAATTCCGGCCTGTTTGGCAAGATGTACAACCAAGAAAAGCTGTACGACGAGATCCTGATGGCGCAGACGCTGGTGCTGCTCTTCGGCCAGCTGGCGATGATGACGTATGCGGGATATTGGGCGTGGCTGTCCAGCATCAACGACGACATTGCTATTCCGTAAGTAAAGTAAAATTTACCATCTTTTTTTAGTACATACAAATCCTACTTTTATACTAAAATTATATCGATTTAATATATACTAAAACTATCTATAAACTATAATAAAGATATCTCAAGGAAAATTCGCTCTTTCTCAGGACTTTTCGCGATGCTGATGGCGGCTCACGTGATCTGGACGATCCGGGCCATCGGGCTGGCCATCTTCGAGTACAAGTGGCTTTTGCGATGGAATTGATTTGTACGTCAACGCTCTCCGTTTATGAAAAAAAAACATTAAAAGCTATTTCTTAAACAATCTGCCCGCCTGACATTTTCAGGAAGACGAGGTACCATAGCAGAAAAATACGAGACGAGAGTTGAAGAGAAGAAGCGTGAAAGCGCAGAAGAGAAGCACACGGACCGGCAGAAGAAGACGCGCACGAGGGAGACGGACAAGGCGGCTGGAGGAGGAGGAGGAGGAGGAGGGAAGACGGCTGTTGCTCAGACACAGGGCGCCGACCGGAGCCTCAAGATGGAGAAGGGCACGCAGGATGAGGGAGGAGCTGGAAGAGGAGCAGGTGGGCATCGGGAGAAGGAGAAGGACCAGGAGAAGACGTGCATCGACAATGAGAATGTGCCGACCAGGTGAGGGATCATTGACAATAGAATGGTTACGTTTTTTATAGGGCCGTGGAGAATCACAGGGAAAGATTGAGATTTCGCCCATCCCACGCTAAAAATTCCCCTCCCCCGTTAACAGTCCAGAAGCAGACCGAATGTCAAAATGCTTAGAAAATGCAGGGAATTGCTCCCCCGCTAAGTCCAGAGCCAATAAAAATTATCCGATTACGCGATGAAACGATTTTCAGGAGTACATCCTGGAGGAGTACATCGAGACGGAAGAGGCTGAGGGCGATCCCGAGCACGATGCGGTGGATGGGGACGAGAAGAAGGAGCACGAGGAGGAGGACACACAGAAAAAGAGGAGAGACACGAGGGATGAGCAGAAGAAGGGAGAGAGAGCGGAGAAAGCCGAGAGAGCCGAAGAGAAACACACGGACCGGCAGAAGAAGACGCGCAAGAGGGAGACGGACAAGGCGGCTGGAGGAGGAGGAGGAGGAGGAGGGAAGACGGCTGTTGCTCAGACACAGGGCGCCGACCGGAGCCTCAAGATGGAGATGGCGTCGCGGAACAGATTGTACATGATTAAAATTGTGGAATTGTTTAATAAAAAATGCCGGGAAAATTGAGGAAATCACTGAAATGACACAACACAACCTAGCCAACATGGATCTTTTTGGGAATACCGCCTAAGGTGGCAAAAAGAAAACAGGGGGCGCGGCGAAAGCGAACTATTGCTAGCTGTATTCCCTACTGCCACTTCTCGCTACAAGAATGTGCTCGTTTTTAATCTTTTAGTTTCCCTCTTGGTGGAAAGTTTCGAAAAAGCTAAAAAACCCCATCAGAATTCCGACGCGGTACTAGAGACGCCGGGTCCCGCAGCGAAAGTTCACGCTATCGAGACTTTTTTGCGGATTTCAGGTGTCCATTTTTATTTTGTTTAACTTGGGCGAAAACTAGATCTAAACTGTGCAGAAACTCCCGCCGTTTCATAGAAAACATTTGTCGAATAAGGAGGCATAGATCTTCTTTTAGCGAAAATTCTGTCCTGATCACTCTTTTCTTCACCATTTCTTTGCTCAAATTAGGCATGGCAGACGACGATTTCGTTTCGTGTCAAGAAGAACGCTGTCAAAATGCCATGCCAAACTCCCATCGTGCGCTAGCAAACCCATTTTCGTTGTATTTAAATTTCTTTGCTAAAATCTGACGGCGCGGATGTTGATTCTTTTAGCTTGAAAGAAAAGCCGGGAGTATGGATCAGAAACTCTCACTAATTCTGTTCTGTTTTATTTTCTTCGAAATCTATCATCAATACTGAATGGCCCATAGGAAACGTTTAGAATAGGCGTATTTTTATCGATTTGCTTGCCCAAATTAGACGGGGGAATAGTCGTTCGGCGCGTAGAAAAATTCCGCCAAAAGCATTCAGAAACGCTCAACCGCCATTTTTTCGCGCCCAACAATTGCTTCTGGCTTTCCCCCGTCCTATTTGAGGTTCATTCCCGTTTCCTAAAGATTCTTTACGATCCTGTGCAGCAAATTATTGCTCTTTGTTGCTTTCTGTTCTTTTGGCGAGCTTTGAAACTTTATCAGCTTTGGATAATTTTTCATTTTCAGGGCAATGTCGTACCACGCGTTGAACGGGATGAAGCTTGATAAGGAGCAGCTGCGGACAATTGTTGGTTTTCTCTCCATTCTTTCATATTTTTTTAGAACCGCCGCACCATGGGCACCACACACGCCCGCACTCTCTCCATCGCCAGCTTCATCAGCGACTCGGAGGTGAAGATTGGGCGTCGGGCTTCGTAAGTTTCTTTTGGGATTGTAAGGTCTTTTTGAAATACGTTTATTCTTTCTAAAGGCATTTTCTAGACGATTTTATTGTGTGTTTTTTCTGCGCGGTGATTTTTAGCTACCACAAGCGTGGCTTTGAGTTTTGGGGATTCGCAGTTGCCAGTTGAGTCTGGTTTTTCGATAATCTTGTAAATAGGTTCTAGGTCATCATTATTCAGAGTGGCAGGGCCTGGTCTAGTAATCGAATCAAACGTGTTTTATACGGTTTTTAGTCAGGTTCAGTGCTATTAGAAGCAAAAATAGTTAGAAAGGCTGACATTTTGGTAATCTGAGGTCGAAAAAAGTAATTTGTTGGTCCCTGTGAATACCCAAGAACCGGGCTTTAAAATATAAGAAAATTTTAAAGGAAAATCTACGAAATATGATCCAATTTAGTTTTCTTCAGAATGTTCGACATGCCCTCCTTCATCAACAGCGACTACGAGTTCTTCGATCAATTCGGCGACGGCAGTACGCCCAAACCGCCGCCCAGGAAGAGGAGCCTGTTGGGTTGATTTTCCTGGTCAATTATTCCGTTTTTAGTAGCATGGAAATCCCGCGCAGCGTGCACACCGGCGACCGCCATGGCAAGCCCGACGTCAAGGCCGTACGAAAGCCGGCGGCGGCCAGCTTACCGAAGAATGAACGCCTCGTCACGTTTCTGCAGGACGAGATCCACGTGAAGGGGATGATGATGCGATTGGCCGCGTTCATCCACGCCATCTCCAACGACAAGGACCAGCAGCGAGTGCACGGGAATTGGGTAATGAGTGTGCAATCGCCAAAATGCTTGATAGTATGTCCGAACGGGATTCCGTTTCCGGGTTTTCTCTTTAGTTATTACTTTTAGCTAAATTGGCAAGCTTGTTACGGGGATGTGGCAAAACAGTTTGCTTCCCTTTTTTCCTTTTAGCGAGCCTAATTATAAGCCTGGCTTTTACGCCTTTCGATGACTTTTGTTTGCGAAAAAGGCTCCTAACCTAATTATAAAATTAAGAAACGGCAAACTTTTGCCGATTTCATTCATTTTAGACCCAAAATGAAATTTGTATATTTTGGAGCGTTTCGGTGTTTTCGGCAGCTTTTGATGACTAAAAAAGCTTATAACCCATTTGTAAAACTATGAAATTGGAAATTTGTGACAATTTTTGTACTTTCTGTACCAAATTGGCGCCGTAAAAGGCTAGGTAAAGGTTTTTCATCTCGCCATTCGATTCTTAAACCCCTGTTTTAGACTATAACAACATCTACCTTGGCAAACGCATGTTCGGCCCGGCAAAGAAGCAGAAGTTCCTCAGCACCATCACCGGCGGTATGGAGCGACGGTATCGGCGCTAACTTTACGGCCTACTTTCCTTTTTTAGGTTTGAATTCCTGGACAGCCAAGTCAACCACCAATCGTTCACCCATCTGTGGTCCGATCGCAACCCGACGAAATGCCGGAATCCACGTAAATCCTTCACTCATGCCAGATTTTCTGTTTAGAGGTTTCCTGCATTGACGATAGCCGTGTTCAGCTGCGCTCCGATGACGACGGCGAGACGTCCTTCATCCATGCTAACTGGGTATTTATACCGGGCGAAATGTTTATGCTATTTTTCTATAGGTTCGCGGCGGGCCCCTCTTCAACGAATTCATCCTCACCCAGGCGCCGATGGACACGACTGTTGGTCAGTTTTCAAGCCGAGAAAGCACCCCCGAACGCTCCGCCGCGGTGTCAAATTTGACGTCCTAGCCAGCTATTGAGAGCTCGCCGAGGCGATGAGAGATTTCGGTCCCTTTTTCAAAATCCTGCTTTTTTTGCTAAATTTACGAAGTTTTTCTAAACGGACTCCATTTTCGCTTCATTTCTGGCCAAACAGTTTCTTTGAATGAAAATTTCAAGAGCAGACGAAAGAGAACAGGAAGAATAGAAGCATCTTACGCGTTCCGGAATCTTATGGCAGTTTTTTTTTTTGAAAGATAATCGAGCAAGTTGCTTGAGCAGGTCTCGATCGCGACTAAACAAATCTCGAAATTTGAGCATAGATCAGCGGAATTGCAAAAAATTAGACGGAACCTGTCTACTAGCTTTTCCGCGCACTTTTGGTTGATATCTACGTAATAAATATGTGATACTCCTACGAATGGCTAGGGCGTCGGAGGGCTTTTTTTTGATCCCTCTGTATTTTCCGATTTTAGAAGACTTCTGGCGGATGGTGTGGCAAGAGAAGGTGCCCTACATCTTCATGCTCATCAGCCGCAAGCAGCCGGAGCGGTGTGTCCGCTATTGGCCAAAGTATGAAATCTTTTTGTTATTTAAAAAAAAACATTATTATTTTAGGGAACAAGACGGCCTGCTTCGGTTGACCGAGATGAACGTGCGACATTGTGGCGTCGATGAGGAGCGAGACCCGCTGTTTCGGGTAACTTTTTCGTCGGTTGTAGGTTTTTCGGTCGTGGACTCTTGGCGGGCGCAACTAAATTTTATTTTCCCATCCTATCTCTCCTTTCTCTCCCATCCTTTAAATCTCTAATGTGTTTTATAGTGTTTTTATTAGTTTTTGAATGCTAGAAAGCTGCAAGAATTTTTCATCCATCTTTGCAGGCCTGGGAATTTTTAGGGCCGCCCCGGGCCGGCCCAGGGCCGGGCCGGGCCGGGCCGAGATTTTGGCGATTTTTCAGGGCCGGGCCGGCCCTCGAATTTTCAGGGCCGGCCCGGGCCGGCCCGACCTTTCTGCACGAATTAGAAATCAATTCAAATGTGGTTATATAAAGCTAATCTTTACTATTTCCGCATGTATAAGGATTACGCTATCTATCTACACAGCTTAAACAAAAAAAAAAGCATTTTTGATCAAAATCGCTTACCAGGAAAACGACCCGGGTTCGACCCGCCTTGAGGTCAATTTTTGCTTTTGCTTTTTTCTACCGAAACAATCTGAAATAACTGCAATGCCATTTGGCATGACCTGAGACATTAAAGGGCTGCCGACGGCATGTGTCGATCCCCCCCCCATCAACAAATTGGCAAGTAGCCAACAGGGGAGAGAGCGCGCCCAGGGGAGAGGCGCAGAGGCATTTTCTTTCCAGCGCGTAACCGATTGACTATGCCGTCGGCATCCCTTTAAAACGTACTCTCAGCTGATGTCAGGACTCCTCTGATGCATGGCTTTAGTCAAGGTCAGAAAGTAGGGCCGGCCCGGCGCGGCCCGCCGGCCGGCAGGGCCGGGCCGGGGCCGGGCCGAGAATTTGGCCCGTCGGGCCGGGCCGGGCCGGGCCGAAAATTTTCTTAGGCTGGACCGGCCCGGGCCTGGGCCGGCCCTGACTTGGGGCCTGCATCTTTGCAGTACCGTCAAAAATTTTCGAGCATTCGCAAAAATTTTTTATCAGCCTTTCATATCTAAAAACTTTAAGATGCAGAAAAATGGATATTTTGTTGTTGCAACGTACGGGGTTGGTGGGTAAAATTAGTTTTGTCCCTCTGCCCTCCGCCCGCTAACAGTCGAGTACCGGGTTTTCAACAGAAAGGAAAATCGCCCCCGGGCGGCCAATTTTCTCTTTTAGGTGACCCACATTGAGGTTGTGCACGACAACGGGCAGACGCTGCGCCTCGAGCATTGGCAGGCCGACATGAACAATACGAATAATTTGGAGGTACGGTGACGCTTACTTCTTTCTGATAATACTTTTTCAGGCTCCGCTCCGTCTGCTGCACCTCGCACGCAACAGCTCGAAGCCCGTCATCGGTGAGGGTTTTTTCGAGACCGCCGACGCCTAGCGATCGCAATGCGTCCATTCGAAATAGCGATTCTTTCGCATTATCGGGGGTGAAACCATTTTTTTTTGTATAAATTTAGAAATATACTTTCGCTACAAAAAGTCGACATTTTGCTCAGTAAGGGTCATTTTTCGTCGAGCAATCGATATGTGTTTAACGAAAATTTGTAAAGTTTTTACGTTTAGGAATAGTTAGAAACAGGTCAGAAACACCCGCTATGTATATTGAAAAAATGGTTCATAGTAAACCCCTCCCCTCCTCGATAACGCGAAAAGACCCGAATTTTATTCGTTCTTACCCGAACTTGTTGTCACTGCTCTAGGGTAAAACTTTTGATTTTCAGTGCACGATTGCCTCGGAATCAGCCGTGCCGGATGTCTGGTCACCATCGAGGCGGCGATTGCCAGTCTGATCCGCGGTCCCACTTACAAGGTACGTTTCTCTCTCTCTCTCTCTCTCACTCTGCTTCTCCTGGCTACGCTTTTATCAACTCTGCGATAACCTTTTTTCAGCACACCATCCAGAAAGCCGTCCAATTTGTGCGCTCGCAGCGGGCCTTCTGTATTGAAACCCCGATGCAGGTCAGCAATTACTTCTAAGCCTTTTTATATTGTCTTTAGTACATCTACGTGCACCGCTGCGTGGCCCACTTCTTCGAGGGCATCATCGGCAAGATTCCGCTCTTCGATTCGGACTACCGCCAATGGCTGGAGCGACGCGCCGGCCGCATGTTCCTCGACTTCAACGAGCCGGTTCTTTATCGTTAAAAAAATATATCCCTTTTTTAGTTGCCCGGCCATCTGATGCTGAGCCCGCGCGTCGATCCCGATCTCCTGAAGCAGGTGCGTTTTTGAATTGTTTTCGTCGCTACTGTTTTGTTTGGCGGGGGACTTTTTTTCTAGGAAGTCCAAACTATCAATTGTTATTGTTAGTCCATTTTCGATAGGAGTCAATCAAAACGTAATCTGGTTTTAGATATTTTTCTAAATTTTTCCTTTATAAGGAAACCAACCCATAATTATAAAAATTCTCGTTTTTCGTGTGAGTAAAATCTGATTTTCGTGGAATTTGCCGAATATCGCGGTTGTTTGCTTTATTGCGGAAGCTTTGATGCTCAAAATGGCAAGGAAGCGCTTGACAATTGTAGATTCTGTATAGCGTTTGGATGGCATACTAAAGAGTGGGCTTATGACCGAAAATGATCATCGTTTCCTCCCCCGCCGCATTTTCACCTCGTGATTAAAGTGTGCGTTTTCCAGGTTCGCAAGCCGCCTCGCGGCAACGAGCGCTGTGAGACGGCGTCCGGAATGGGCGAGCTGCCATTGCCCCTTCACTCGGCCGAGGCCGGACGAATCGCCGCCCGTCGTCGCACCCTTCCAAACAAATACCCGGCCGGAAAGAAATATTAATCCTTGTACATATACATTGCATCTGATCGATTGTGTTTTTGAAGTTGACAACTTTTCTGTGAATAAAAGCGTTCCATATACGAAATAATTTGATTCCAAATGTGAATTCAGCATCAAAAATGTTCAATAAATGTCTGTGGAAAGTTCTTGCGTGAAAACTGGGCATTTGACTTCCACGATCGTTCTCGACGCGTCTCGGTCGAGATGCCCGCTTCTGTCGCTAGCGCGCTTCGGTAAGGTTTCTTGAATTTTTCGGGGCTTTCGCATTAACGGGGGGACCAACTTTTTTTTCGCTGGATCCAATTTGCAAATAAAAACAGTGGTAGGGTTTTTAAACTGTTTTACCACTCCTAAACGCGAAAACTTTGCAAATGTAAAAAAAAGAAGAAATTTATTGAAACTTCCTAGGAAGCTACTAGACATTTCTAGACGTGCAAAAAAGTGAACACCCCCCCCCCGTAATGCGAAAGAATCAAATCTTCTTGTATTCCATTACTTTATGACAAATTGCAATTTATAGGCGCCGCAGCCGTCACCGCCGCTCCAGCAAGAAGGGACGCAAGGCCAGCAAGAGGTTCATCCTATCTTCACGATTGATTCTGATATTTCAAGGTCCCGCAGCGCCTCGCGCCGATCGAAGACCCGCTCGTCGGCCCCGCGCCGCAACCCGCGCTCGGCCACGCGCTCGGCCAAGTCGAGGTCTGCTTTCTCTAGCCGTTGGAAAGGATATCACCGAAGAACCGGGGGCGAGACTCCCGATGATCTCCCCCAGCTGGCCCGGCAGCTTTTGTGCCTTGTCACCCCATTGAGCGATGTCTCTGTAAAATATACCAAAATTTTTGTCTTGATCTCGCGAGTATTTTCGTATATCTTACAGCCATGTAGGACAGAGGGTAGCCGAGATACATTGGGTCGGTGTCGGCTGGGGGGTCAGCTGTAAATTACAGCCTGTAAGTCATCGGAAAGCTGCCAAACTTTAGTGCCAGTTCCGGCTTTATAAAGGCTTTATAACTCCTGGGCCCAATAATAATTCACTTTTTTTAGTCGCTCCGGCCGTTCGCGGCCCGCCGCCCTTTCCAAAGCTCGTGGCAAAGCCGCGTCGAGGTTGCACACCTTTTTCTGCGGACAATTTTGTCGTTTTTCAGCCGTTCCCGCTCGTCGCAGCGCAGCGGCTCGCGCTCGTCGGCTTCTCGGTGGGAAAAGCTTGCTAGGCTGTTGGCAAATTTTGTCACGGTTCGCGCGCCTGTTCTGCTATGGAAATAGAAACAAACTTTAGATATCGTAAGCGAGTGTCTTTATAAAAACAAGCCTGCGAATCGTGCGAAATTTGCTTATTCCCGGTTTCCTAAACACCCGGCTTTTTAGCAGCCCACTAACCATTTTTCCTTTTCAGCAGTGGCCGTGCGGATCCGCTGTTGCGCAAGCGGAATGTGCTGCGCCAGAAGCTGCGCAAGGCCTACGAGGCCAAGATCAAGCAGGAGGAGTACGATTTAGCGCGGCTTACCTCATTAATGTTTCCTTTTTTAGCAAGATGTACAGCCAGGGGAAGCTGTACGACGGGATCCTGATGGCGCTGACGCTGGTGCTACTCTTCGGCCAGCTGGCGATGATGACGTATGCGGGATATTGGGCGTGGCTGTCCAGCATCTACGACGACATTGCCATTCAGCAGTATGTGACTGGAAGAAGGCGGCGAAAAGTGACCATTTTTGCAGTTTCCCATTCCTGATCCACACCACCTTCGTCTGCATGGTCACCGTCATCACGCTCGCCCTCGTCCTTTGGCCCCACTACAGTACGGTTATGCTTATTTCTACTGCGCACGTGGGCTAAAGGAAAATTTGGGGTTCTTTCGCATTATCGAGGGGGGGGCTTGAGGCAGTTAAATCGAGGAATTGTTTCTAGAATGTTTTTACTATTCCTAAACGTAAAAACTTTGCATCTATTAAAAAAAACCAAAATGGCCGTTTTTGACAAAAATTTCGATGTTTTTTTAATAAATTTTTTCAAGGCTTTTAGATAGTTTTTCCAGCTAAAGGACAGTTTTATTTTACGAAAAACATTAAAATACTTACCATGAAGTTATTCGGCATTTCTGGATTAATGCAAAAAACTTTGTTTGCCCATAAACCCACCCCCGATATTGCTGATGCACCGAAAAAATCCGCGTTTTCAGTAATTTTCGTGTTGCTGATGGCGGCTCACGTGATCTGGACAATCCGGGCCATCTGGCTGGCCATCGTCGAGTACAACGGGCGTGGATTCTGCGATGGAATTGATTGGTACGGCCACCGTCTTCCTCGACTTCTTCCTCGACATCAGCGTGCCAAAAAACGGGCAAAATGCTTTAGTTACCCCGTATTCAAAATATAACCAGCAAGAAAAAGTGCTCCTTGACGATTTTCAGGGACCAATGTGGCGAGGCTGCCCTTTTCCAGTGGCGAACGTCATCTCCTGAGCGGGTATTTTATGTTTGGATAAATTTTTAACGGTTTTTTCCGCTTAGGCTGACTTGCGCCAATCCGCCGTGCTGTTCTTCCACCTGTGGTCGTTCCTGGGCCACAAATTGGCTGTTTTCCTGTGTCTGGTAAGAGATTACGAGAAATTTACGATAATTTCAGGTGGAAAAGCTTCGACAAAATTTTTTCGTTAAAATTTGGACAAAAACCGGCCTTATTAGGCCAAAAAAGCGATAGCCGTTTGGCAATAGGATTAGGATTTAGGATTTGGGAACCTTTTTTATACGAAAAATTCGGTGCTTAGAAAAATGGTTTGCCCTGCCGCGTTAATACAAAAACGCTTTCTTTTTGCCTAATATTTTGAAAATATAATTTCCACAACCTTTTTTCAGTTTGGTACCGTGCTCTACTTTGGCAGCCTGACCCATCTTGGTGACAGCAGGGAGGGTGAGGGAAAGATTGGCGCGGAGACGAATATCACCGTTTTTCAGGCCGTATGATGCTGAGTCGTGTCCGCCGCCGTCACCAGGGCCTGCCGGAAGATGACCCGAGGTTCTAACCATTTCAACATCATGATTCAGATGTTGCACGGCTTCTAAAGGCCATTTTCCAGCGCCATCCGCGTGGTAAAGCGTGGCCCGCCGCCGCCCCTGATCGTCCCCCAGGAACAGATCTCGGCCAAAACACCCAAGGCCGCCCGCTCGAATAAGGTAATTTTGAAGTTTTTGAGTCGATTGTAGCTCAATTCAGAGCAGCACGAGGTCGGCCCGCGTTCCCCGGCAGAGCTCGTCGATCCTCGACATGAAGAACCCGATCAAACGCCAGATGGAGGCTGCCCACAAGGGGGACATCGGCAGTCGTCATGTCCGTATTCTGTGCATTCAGCACTTTTTAAAAAATAGAATAGTTTAAATCCGGCTTGGTTATATTCTAATCGAAAAGATGATTTTGAACTTTTTATCCAAAACTTTACGAATGAAAAAATCGGCTATGGGGGGGGGAACCAACTTTTTTTAGGATCTTATTTTTCAAATATAAATTCTGCAGCCGTTGTAAATGGTTTAGAGTATCCCTAAACGTAAAAATTTTACAAATTTTTGTTCAAAAATATAGATTTTTCGACCAGAAAAGGCGGGTTTTTGCCCAAAATTTCCAATTTTTTCTACATTTTAAAAAGTTTTCCATAGTTTTTCGAGTTTAAATATACTGATATATTACTAAAAACACTATTAAAACACTTTCTTTTAACTTCCTGGCATTTCTAGATTTATACAAAAAAAAGTTAGGGCCCCCCGATGATGCGAAAGAACCGAACAAAGCCCTGGAGAACACTTTGAGCAAAGTTTCGTCAACTGTTATTACTTGGAAAGTTTCGGAAAATATTGCTTTTAGCCGAAATTAGAAAAACTTTTAAAGCTAACGAATGAAGTTTGTAATCCTTTACCGTTGTCCGCCGTTAAATGGCTACTTTTCAGACGCGCACCGAGACGACGACGCACGAGGTGCAGAACCAGGATGACGGGTCGGTGTGCGTGCGTAAGGAGAGGACGAGCACCGTCTTTGTGGGGAGCACGACGTACTTTAAGCGTTTTCTCAATGTTTTCAGGTGACCGCCATCGTGCCGCCGAAGGGCCCCCGAACCCCGCGCCCCAACCAAGCCGCTGCTGCCCCTCACCGCTGATGTGCACACCCCGGCGCCCAGGGTAGAATGATCCGAACTGGCTCTTTCCATTGATGGGTCTTTCGCATTATCGGGGGGGGGGGAGATACATTTTTTGCATAAGTCTGGAAATGCCTAGTAACTTAATAGAATGTTTTCCTATTAAAAAAACTAATTTAAACTAGAAAAACTATCTAAAAATTAAAAAGTTTTTGGAGTCGAAATTTTGGTCAAAAACCGTCATTTTTTGCCCAAAAATCTAGATGTTTCGTATCTTTTAAAAAATTTATAAAATTTGCCTCTATGAATAGGGATAAACAGTCTAGAAACACTGCCTCTATTTGTATTTCAAAAAGCGTTCCCTAGAAAAAGTTTCCCCCCCCCCCTCCCCTCCCTCCCCCCAATGCAAAGAACCTAATCCTCTGTCTGTTGCAGCCGAGCCTGAAGCCAAACGAGGCCGTTGTCCAGCTTCCGCCCAGCTATGTTGGCATCTCGAAGGTATGTTGACTACCCCAACAACACGTTTTTTAGTAGTTTTTGATTGCGAAAATGTTGTACAAAATGTTGAAACAATTTTGAAGGTTCGGAGAATTTCGAAATTATCGAAATTCAAAAAGATCAAAATTCAATTTCGAAAATTTTATCTGTTTTATGAGGTTTTTATGTCTAAAACTAGATGACATTGTGCTATAGAATGAGTTATATTTCGCTATAGGGGCGTACGGGATTACTGGGAAAAATTTGGGCCCCGACTAACAGTCCAGTACCCGAAATGGGTATCCCATCGGATCGTAGACGGCCAGATTTCCTCCCCGTTCAGATGGCCTCTGCAGACGTCGCCGATGCGCGCCCTCGGCGGCCTCGCCTCATCGTCGGGTCCCGCCACGAAACCCTCTGCATACGCGTACGAGTGAGAAGATGTGTGGACGACGTGCTGACGAAGGAACACCACGCCACAACCTACTCGACCCCTTCCCCCTCGCCTCATTCCTCGATATGCGCATCTGAGGTGTGATGATGATGATGATCATGTTGACCCCCCGCCCTGTATCGCCATTCCTTTTCTTTCTTCCCTCTCATCCCCTTCCCCCGTCCCGTACTGTGTACGATGAAATGAAAAACACCAAGCACGTCTCCTGTAGTTGTCCCCTGCCTATATCCCTCTCTGTGGTCCATCCCTCTCTCTCCTCATCATCATCATCATCAGCGTCTGAATAAATACTCACGTGCAAGCCCTCGATATCGCTACCGTTTTTATGTTCAAAAGCAAAAATTATTTACTTTTTTACTGTCCTTCTTATTTTTTGAAAAAATATCTAGCGCCTAAGCAACGAACCGCCCCCTATGGACGCAAAACGCCATCTGGAGCGCGGCGTAGTTTTCACTCTTTCAAATTGCAACGTTGAAATTGATTTTTGTAATACAAAATAAAGTTTTAAGGCTTGGATTAGGTGGTTATTCGTGATCAGCGCGAAAAACTGCGCCAGAATCAATGGGTACTTTCGCCTCTCGCACGGATCATAACAGAGGAACAACGGCATTTGAGAAACACCGTTTTCACGCCTTTTTTAAGGAATGGTTGTTGCTCAAACGTCGCTTTTCCCCCTTTGCTCAGACATCGTTTGCGCATCAGTCATAGTCGCCTTCTCGCTAAATTGCTTTTTTGGCCGGTTGGATTTGCCGTTTCTGTAAAGAGCACGTTCAGAATCCACGCTATAATGCCGCGTGAGCGCCTATTACGTCTACGTCTCTCTGCGTAAATAGGATCTACTCGGCGGATATCCGAACGTGCGCTTTAAGATTTCTGTTTTGCCCTGCATCAATTGAATCTGCATTTGAATCCAATCTATTCGTTTTCAGGATGTCGATGTACATCTGCATGGGCCGTCAACTACATCAAGAGCGAGTTGCTGAGCCGCTCACCTCTAAGCCTGCTGCTTTTCCTTTTTCTTCGTCTTCCTCCGCCGCCCGTAGATGACCGAAGCAGCCGCCAAGAAGTTTCGGACGAAACACGCTCCCCGTGATGAAGCGGACCCACATTCCAATAGCACGAAGAGCTACAAAAGCAAAAAAGGTTCGGCACATTTCTGGGTTACTCTAATTTAGCTCTCGAAACCAAAAGCATTTTTCAAAGTCTGTGTGAAAGCGCCGGCAATTTTTGGATATATGCTATATATCTCTCCCTGCCGAGAGGTAAAGTATATCAAAATGTTCCTCTTCGTTTGCTGATCATTTTGGTATACTTTGCACTCCTGTAGACGCACGGGGAGCAAAACAATATGTCCAAAATGCACCTAAGTCGGCTTTTTAGCCACCAAGAAATTTCCCTTTTTTTCAGTGAAGCAACCGGCGGTTCCCCGCGGCAAGGCGAGCACAAACACCAAGGAGGATGACAAGCTGACCGAGGAGGGCACGCAAAGGCAAAGCGCCTCAAAGGGCAAGGTATCGTAGTGTTTGTCGGTTGCAAATATATAATATCTAAATTCAGGCAAGCGGCGCGACGGCCGCCGGCGCCCTGTCGAAGGACAACAAAGCCAGAGCAGCGCAAGCAAAGAAGACGAACGTCGCCAAGTTCACCCCCGAACAGGACGCGGTCGCCGCCAAGTTCTGCAACTTTCTCAATACGACCTCGGCCGAGCAGATTCTCGGTGAATTCGATACGCTGAAGACGTACTGCACGAAAAATGACAAAAGGGACGAATGTAAAAAGAATGCCGACAAGAATAGATACGGGGTAGTTTACTTTTCCTTTCTTTTTATTCGATCTAGGATATTCACTGCCTTGATGCGACCCGCGTTGTGCTGAAGACTGATTTCGGGAACTACACAGCGGCCGACGGCGACTACATCCACGCCAACTGGATCTCCTATGATTGTGTGTTTCATTTTGCTCACTAAAACGTGGCCTTTTCCAGACATGGAGCGCAAATTCATCGCTACCCAGGGCCCAAAAGATAACACCATCGAAGATTTTTGGCGTATGGTATTTCAGGTACGTTTCTTACGGTAGTTTCCTATAGTATCTCGGCTCTGTCTTGCGTTATAGGGCTGTAAGGTATACCAAAAGACGCGCCAGACAAAGATGAGCATTTTGGTACACTTTACACACCTGTAGGCCAATGGGGAACCGCGATACAAAAGTTGGGGTTCGGCTGGAGGGTATCTGCCGCCTTATCTTTTTATCTTCCGCCATTTGTTACCTTTCTGATAACAAACAAAACTACAAACTCCATTTAATTTTCAACTGACGTTCAAATTTCATTTCCAGGAAAACGTGGCGGCCATCATCTCGGTATGCGACTATGTCGAAGAGGGGAACTCAGAAATGTGCCGAATATTTCCCGGCGAAGGCGGGTGACTTCAAGAACTACGGCAAGATGTTTGTCAACAACAAGAAGGTCGACGACATCGTGCACACGCTGGAAGTGCTGCCCGACGGCTGCTCGAATTCCATCATCACCAAGCTGATCTTCTGCACCGAATGGCCCGACAAGGGGATGCCGTCGAAGGGCGGGATCCCGCTAAAGCTGCGCCGCCTCACCAGGGTGATTTTTAACGTACTATAAATAAAGACCTTAGTGATTCGAATTGGTAATTTGATTTAGAAAACAGTGAAAACAAAACTAAGTGGTTTTTAGGTGTGTTTTGTCTTTTTCGATGTGACAGCCAATTCGATAGATTGAATTTTTGAACGATAACACTTTTCAAAAACGGGTTTTCGGTTACGGCCTTTTTTGTTTAGCCCGGGCAATAAATGAACGGGATCGGCCCTTTGAGAGCGAATTTTTTCGAAGACAGTGGTCAATCCGCAATTTTTGAAAGATGGGATTGTTCAGAATTGCAAGCTATGCCACATGGAAAAACTCCAAAAACACCTAATAGCGGCTCCTTTGAGTTGGCTGATATGCAAAATTGCTTACCTTCAAAAATTTAAATTGCATTCAGGAAGCCGGCACGGGAACTGTGGTGGTCCATTGCTCGGCGGGCGTCGGTCGCACTGGCACGTACATCGCCATCGAGATGGCCATCCAGAAGCTGTTGAAGGGCAGGGAGGTGTCGGTACGAGGCTTCTTTCTGACGCACAAACTTAGTTTGTTGTAGATTGTCGAAATCTTCAAGGATTTGCGCAACTGCCGGCCGTCTTGCGTCCAAAACACTGCCCAATACCTCTACATCTACAGCTCCGTCCTCGAATTTATTCTCGTGCGTCTTTCAATTCAAGCTTTTCTAACCTAATTTTAATTTAGACGCGCAACATCACACACAAGCCGACGCAAAAGAAGTTTCTCGACGAGCTCGCCGAAGTTATGGAGTAGCCGGCGTCGCCTCGTCCCTACTAACCGCCATCCATATTAAACGTCTTCATCTATGTGTTCTATTGAATTTAAAGTCTATGTACGTCAATAAATGGTCACTTGAAGGGTGCGATTTGTGATGTTCTTGGCGTGTTTCGTCAATATAATTCGTAATAAAGGCATGAGAAATCTAACGCGTAACAAGTATTTATCAAGTAAACTACACCAATAACAAGGTAAAAAAGCTTATTTTCCGAGCTCCCTCCCCAATTTAAGAAACGAAGTAAAGGGATCGAGCGACGCCCCGTCGGCCAAGAACGAAATTTCTTCCTCGTGCGCTTCCACCTCCAGCACTTTCCCATCATCGCGTTTCAATTGCCCGTGAAAGCTGCCGTCAGCTCCCTTCGCCAGGTCGAGCTTTTTGACCAACCGCGGCAAGACGTAGTGCTCCATGTCAAACCGGCCGTCAGAATCAGAGTCCTCGGCTCCGATTCTCGCTCGATATGGAGCACATAATGCCTCGATCTCCCGCTTTCCGGCCATCCACTCGTCAATGTAGTAGTAGAGCAGCCTCAAAAACGGCTTGCCCATATTCCGGGTGCCAAACATCATCCTTGGCGCGTACACCCGTTTCAGATCATTTAGGTCTTCTCGATGGACAATACCAATCATAAGGACACCTTCCGGAAAATTGTTGTCGACCATGAATTCCATAAAAATCTGCGAGTAGACGTTGACCGGCTTGAGGATATCCTGGACGATCTCCTTATCAATGTAGACCGCATCGCCATAGCGGTTCGGGGGATTTGGGTGTAGGCCGTAGAAGAAATTTTGGCAGGTGAAATTTGGCTTCACTTTCAATGGCGGGCTTCTTTTCAGACGGTCACCGCAGTCGTAGATGACGTTGCGCACGTGCAGGCC